AGCTGCTGGCTCCCTAGCAACCAGCCCGAGCGGGAAGCTGTCACCGTTAGCGGCGGTAATAATACCAAGACATTGGCCTGTACACGTGATCAGGCAGAAGGGGTGGAGATAAAGTTTAGTGCAGTGGGCAGGGAGGGAGAGGCGTGGCTTTGATTTATGGTCTGTATAAGAGGGGTGGAGTTTGGCATCGGTGCTCTGAGTGGATTTGGTCCTAATACTGTGAATGGAAAGGTGTTGTGCGGAGGCAGGATGGGAACAACAAGTGCAATGGCTACAAAGTCCTGGATCATCCCAATATACAGAGCTGAGGGGAGTGAGGCAATCTTTACCACAGACTGCTTGTTAGATATTCCTATTGGGAGGAGTGTGTGTGGTGTGTGTGTGTGGCTTTTGGCTGGGTATTGGGAGGGATTTGTGTAAGGGGCTGTGGTAAGGTGGCAAGAAGGGTCGGAAGGGTTAAGTGTGTGGGGGAAGGCTTGCTTGGTGTGCCCTATTGACGTTTGGTCAATGGGTGACCACATGTGGGATGGGCACAATGGTGGAAATGGCAAACTAGGCGGACCAGTCTGAATATGTGAGGAGGAGGTGGATCTGGAGATGAGGTTTGGGATGAGCCAAGTGTAAATCAAGCTGCAGCTGTTTCGCATCCCATTTGCCACATATTGGGGAGGTCACTCCTAGACCTCCAGCATAGCACCCATATAAGCTGATCTCACTATTACAGATGGGGAATTGGATTGGGAGGTGATGTTCATATATCCAACACAAACTTACCAACCTGGACTATGTCCCTGCTGGCTCTATGATATCCTATAGTTACTGAGGAGTTTAGTTTCAGCCCGATACAGAGATTCCATGATGAAATAGTAATAAATAATGAGCTGTCACAGCCACTGTTATGTTCTGCTATAGCCAGTACATTGCTACGGGTTGTTTTACATATTATTATGTCTGACATCTAGTGGTAGATTGGAGCTACTACAACTTGTTTTTATGTTTACAATTGGTATTGCCTACTGTCCTCCCCTCCTGTTTAGTGTCACTTGGTATAGTCTTAGATAGAACTTCTCTTCTGTTCTACAAGTCCTCTCAGTTTATTGCTATCCTTCATTGCAGACACTAGGCTTAAAAGATGATTGCCTTTATACCCTTCAAATGACCAGCAAGCACCCTCTGCTGTGAGAAGTAATGCTGATTAGGCTTCTACAGTATGTCTTTTTGGAGAGTTACGCTGTCTGCGTGTAGGTAGGTGCAGTATAGCCAACGGCCACTAGATGCCCCCATGGGGCCCTGGAGATAGATGCAGCTCTGGCCTGGGAAGAGTCTGTGTCCCAGGAGAGTTGATTTATATGGGTGCCCGAGAAGGGAAGTAGAGAGAGAGTACAGGAGAGCAGAAGTCTAAGACTGTTTGCAGAGTCTCTGGAGGGAGACTGTTTCTTGAACATAGGCTGGTCCATGGGAAGGACAGGACCAGGCCTAGGACTATGTAGAGATACAAAGATTCCCTAGTTTCCCCTGGAGGGGGAAACCCACCGTGCTAGGACTGACAAGGATGGGATTCCGGAGAATAGTGAAGTGCTATAAGACTGACGATATTTGGGGCTATGCCTGACACAGGGTGCCGTTCATGGTGGCCTTTCTCCTTGGGGAGGAGGAAGCGCTGAAGGCCGCAGAGGCGGTTGAAGCCATGAGGCCCTGTGTGCGCAGTACTACACGTGTGGGAGTGTTTGCACGAGGCCAAGGCCGTGGCCCCTGACCGTGGGGTGTCTGGTTTCGAGTTGCATGCATGGGGTTACCCAGCCAACCCAAAGGGAACACACACGCAACACCCCAAGAGTGAACCCCGCCTACATGTGGATTGGGTGGATTCAGCTGGTGACCATACTGCCCCGATGGATTGAGGTCCAAAGGGAGTTATGTCAATGCATAAAGTGGCTCTTGAAACAGAACAGAGAAAGTTCAATAGTTTAAGAGGATAAATCATTGTATTGAAGTTCATACCCTTTCATTAATGAATGTCTCTGTAGTAAGGGCATCCATTAATGAATGTTAAAAGCTGATTCTCAGCGGTTACCAGCCCTCTAAAGCAGCAAATAACTTGTCACGTACAGTGTACGTGACGAGTCATTTGGTCCCTTTGTGGCTGGACGTACAGTGTACGTCTCCCGTCACGAAGGGGTTAATGGTAAGAAAATGTTTACCTTTAATGGCTGTTGGACTTCTGGAGAATGGCTACTGGACATGGAAGGGTTCATGGACATGGAAGGGTTCTGTAGTAGTTGCTGCTGAAAATAGAGGAGTGGGCGGGTTTGTCCTGTCCTGAAATTTGACCCTCAGGCCACCATTACACTGCTACCCAACCCCCTTCTCAATTTCCCTTGCTAGGACACAGGCGGGCTCACCATAACAACCAATGATGCTTTGGTACCGCCAGTGTCTTAGCAACCAAAGAACCTGTGTGTCATTGATTACTAAGATGGTGGTGGACTCACAGCAATATACAGCATGTTCTTGTGGTGAACCCCCCCCCCCATCTAAATTCTAGCAACCACTGAAGCTGTGTGGCTCAGCCACCAGTCAACAAAGGATGTTGTGTGCCACATAGTCTGCCCTGTGACTGAGTAAAGATATATTGAATGGACGTCATACCAAATAGGTGAAAATTGAGGGACATTCCTTCAATGGGGACACCTGTTCTGGTGACAACTGACTAGTAGAGGATTTCCCCTCACTTTGGAGCAATTTCTACTCACTTCCTGCTGGGTCTCTTGGACAGGAATAGAAAGGAAATCTCCAGAACAAGACAGAGACCACAAAACACTAAACAGCACTTTCAACCCTTCCCTACTTTATACTTGAAGTCTTGTTTGGCCCCACAAACGGACCCCATGTGTTCCATCGCTATGACAATTCATGACAAAGATATTGTGGGATGTGATGAGGAAACCAACAAGCTGAGATCACGGCGAAGGTTCAGAAAGTTTATTTAGAAGAGAAGAGTTACAAAGTAAAAGTAAAGATGAGAAAATAGAGAGATGAAGACACGGAGATCCTTAGACATGGACCAAGGATCTGACCTTTTCATCTGACCTCCAATCCCGGACAGTTGTCATGGAGGACCGCCCCCAAACATAAACATGTGACCTATGACATCATTGAGTGAAGAATTTGTACAAGCAGCACATCATTCATTACAAGAGACATTCATTTCTGTCATCTCAGAACACCTCATCAGCTTGTCCCACCTCCAGACCCCCAAATACCTCATTGTAGAACAAGGAGACCAACTGTCACTGTGTTCTACAACAAGACATTCCAAGGATCCGGAGAACAACCATTTGTTCTAATCACATCTTTCTGTAAAGTCATTCCAGCAAGTCAGCCTGTTATTCTAGAAAGAACCCAACATGAGCATAGAAGCACTTAGTGATGTCATCTCATCATTAGTAACGCAGATCAGAAGGATTTTTCTTTATCACATGAATAGGACCATAGAGGAAATGTAACCATTGTTCTGCCCCATAAGGATCATAGAGGTGCTGGGACTGAAGGGGA